TCGGCCCCCCGCCCCGGGCCGCGAGTTTTGTGCGTGAAGCGCGTTAACGAGCCCTTTCGTTTGGTTGTTCCTTCAGGGCGGCGTGTTAGTTTTGGTCGGAGGGGGGGTGCAGGCTCTCTGTGACTCGGTGAGAGCTGGCAGATGTCCCAAGTGAGGGAACCTCTTCCTCCGGGGCCTGAAGGGCCAGAGCAAGCTCCGGCGGAAAGCAGCGCTTTGATCTCTCTCCCTCGAGGTGAGTTGCTTTAAAGTTCCTCTGTAATTGTTGCGCCTGTTATGTGAACCATGCGTTTACTGACTTGTTTTGTGGGTTTTGACCCCTTTTCTCTTTCCCCTCCCCCGACCTCCCCTAGTCGCTGTGGCTTTGTAACGCTTTCGCTTCCACCTCGTTATTGTTTTAAGCAGAAGTTCCTATGTAGAAAATGCAAAAAAACCCGAAGATGCACTGTTGTCAGCACCGGTTCTCAGTACTTGAAAAACTGCAGTCGTTCCGAGGCACATGCTGCTCCTTAAAAATCGCTGGCTTCTTCCTCAGGTTTGTGTTTGTGTTTAGAAGCTCCTTCCTGTAAAGCTCTCGTTCCAGGTCTTGCAGTAAGTTGGGAAAGGTTGATCCAGGAGCGTTTTTCAGGTTGGAGGTCACTTTGCTGTTTCTTTCTTAGATTACTCTGATGCTGCAGCTAAAACGCGTTTCTGGGAGTATTAACTTGTTCCATATCAGCTGTTCAAAAGGTTGTTTAAAAGTACATTCATCTTAAAGAGAGTTTCTTTTAAGTTATGCCTTATTTGCATTTGCACAAAATACATTGGCATTCTGATCACCTTCACGTGGGGAAGTTTGACAAGGTGTCTTGCAGGTTATCCTCAAAATAGGGAGTGTGTTTGCCTCCTGAGTCCTGGTCTGTGAAGATGAGACTTAATTTTTTTTTTTTTTTCTGTTTACAGCTACAGCTTTGTTTTCCAGAATTCTGACAGGAGTTTAAAAAGTCTCTGAAGGAACAGACAAATAAGCTTGTTCAAAAACTGTAACTTTATTCATAACTGGTTAACTGGAGCAGAGCCTGGTAACACAGTTGTGCAACTGTGGATTAAAGATGCAGTCTTGGTTTTGTAACTTGGAAAATCAATAGCTATGTGAAATCAAAGCTGAAGACTCATTTGAGAAACCAGAAAGTATCCGTAGCTAAGTAAAAAATGTTCTGGCAGGGAGACTTATTAAATTGGCTTATACTTATCTTATTGTTGGCTTTTTTTTTTTGTCCTAGAGAATGACTCATAACTTCTAAACAGTAAAAAATAATAATAGAAAAAGATTAGATACAGAAGATGAAGCATGCAGAACTGAACTGTTAGAATCATGTTTTTGCCAGAAACATCAGTATCCATGATACATGTTTATTTTCAATGTGTTGGTTTTATCTGTCATGTGATCAAGTGGCCACACTGGTTAAATCCTGCATGTAGGCCATACATAAAAGTTACTGAAGTTGTAAGTCAGTGAACTCACTAGGCTGGAAAGTGGTCTCACTCTTACAGTGCCCCTTTAAGCTGAGTTTTCACTATGAAGTAAAGTCTTATGGGATTGCATTTTGTAAGATTTTCAATACGTGCTCTTCTTCTTATGGAAGGTAAGGAAACAAATACTGACCTGTCCACGGACAAGTTATGTGCAGGAAATCTGACTGACACAATCACAGCTGTTGAGGTGGAGGATTATAAAGTTAACTTTCTTAGGGATCAGTAAGGTACATGCTGTTTCAGGTTTGCTCACTGGCCACACCTTTCAAGGCACACGCTCAATTTTAAAGCATATGTTATAGTTCACAGAAAGACAAGGGTGGGTTTTTACAGAATTCATCCTTCAAGTACATAATATTTATTCTAATGAACTTAGATTTAAGGATAACTGTGGCTAGTTGTTGCTTTTTTCTAGCCTAAGTCTGTTGGGGAAATGGGGGTGGAAAGAGGAAGAGGTGAGTTCATAACATTTCCAGTCTATATTCCAGCATTTCTGTTGTCAGCTTTGCAGTGTGTGGTTACAGGGTAAGGTAGTCCAGATATTCCAGGACTAAAGATCTAAGATAATATGTCTGGGACTTTGAGTAGCCCCTACTTTTTCTATACTATCCCCAGGACATCCAAAAGTACACTGAATTCTCTAGAATTTGGCAATAATTTTAAAAGCTGTGGTTGAAATTCATATTATTTCTGGAAATAGGCTAGAGATATTTGGAAAAATCTGCAATAATTTGAAATGATAACTACTTTACTTAGTATCACTTCATCATATTTATGTGATGACTCCATATATTTACAGTGAGACACTTTAAATCTGTGTCCACCTAGAAATAAAGATTTTTTTAATCAGGAAAAAACGGCTTATGTTGTATGTATAATAACATCTTAAGTGCATTCTAGTAAGGAAGAATTTTTGATTGGTAACAGCATACTTTAATGTGCTTTCTTTATTTGTTTAACTGGTATAGATACCTTATATCCTGAGAACAAACTTCTCCTCTTCTGTAGTTCTGTGAGGTATCACCAAAAAAATCCAGATCTTCAAAGTGCTCCTTTTGCTTGCTGTCATATACATTCAGGAGCTGAAGCTGAATTTTATTTTTCCATGAAAGGAACAGAAACTTCAACTGAATTTTAAATGTTCAACAAACATCTATCCCACAACCTAATTAAAAACCAGACAAAAGTAATAAAGTTTAGGCAGATTGCAGGGTTATACATCAGTTGTGGACATGGTGAGAACTGTGGGTTGAGACATAGTTTGGCCTACAGATGTGGCATGCTCTGGCTTTCGCAACTTAAAAGAATTTTTGTGTGTTACTTTAACCAATACGCTCTTTCAACATCTCCCCTGTCACTGTTCTTGTTAGTTCATTTTTGACTAAATGCATAAATATTAGTGAGATTATTGGACTTTGCCCCTCCACCGTTAGTGTGCTATGAGAGAGAGCAAATGAAATCATAGCATCTTCTTTCGTGGCAATGTCAATACTCAATTTCAGTCCTTCAACCATTATCTGTGCCAACCGAGTCTGCTGCTCTAAGGCACAGGCTACAGGATGAAAGGTTTAACCTAATTTCTGCAAACATACAGTTAATATTTGCCACATCCTTCCAAAAGCGTAGCTCTACTCGTGCGCCCTTGTTCAAGATCCTGGTCGTGCCGTCTCTCTTCTCCTGTAGCTCCACAGGCCTTGGAATCAAATTGGGACTACTTCTACCTGTGTGCTGTGTAACGTAGTCAGTGAATAGTGTCGTCTCTGTGCTCAGACCACTTCATTTTGGCTGTGATCAAGTATTTTCTCCATTGGTAGGTACCAAAATAATGTCCCTAAGCAAGGAGTGTGACAATTAGTGGCCATTAGTCTCTCTGCTTTAAGGAAAACGTTTCATGTGTTAGAGCTCGTGTCGTGATTATTGCCTGGGCCATGGGTAGACTTTTTTCATTAAATCCTCTGCATTTGAATAAACCGTGGAATATGAGAGAGAAATTCAACAAACGCGAAACTATGTTTAGAGAATCAGGCCACATGTTAGAAAATGTAGGACTGTCATCCATAAAGTATTTGGAATGCTTTTACGTTTGCTTGTTGGTAACTAAATGTAACCTAGAATAACAAGTGAATAATATTTAGCATTCTCAATTTAGAAAGAAAATAAATAAAATAATAGTAATAATAGAAGACCTATTATGAAATTGAGACTGATAATTGCACTTCAACTAGAAGCACTTTCTAATAACTCTTCAGGTGATGGAAGTGCACTAGAATTTATCTTTTTTCAGTGGTGTGGGGGTGGAGGATGGAGGAGTCTAGCAGAAATATTAAGGGCCAAGTTCTGTAAGTGACCATTCTCTCTGGTGCAAATCACGCCAGTGTTGCTGGATGGAGATGCAGTTCTGATTTGGTGTCTGAAGAAACCATATTCAGCAACTCCTACTTCCATTCAGAAAAGTACAAAACCCATGTGCTCCTTTTCAAGAATGTGACTCAAACCTTTTCGTGTTTTCTGTGCTTAACTGTTTTCATGATGAGGAGCACTAAAGGAATGTGCTGGCTAGATGAGATGGGGTGACAGAGGACTTACTGTGGGGAATGTTTGGACATTCTTGAGGCAACGACGATTACTATCACCATAGTTGTTGCACTTTACCAGCAGTGCCTCAGTGTTATGAGTAATGGATTTTTATTTTAACGGTTAACCAGTGCACTCAGATTGCTCAAACTTACCAGCTACTTCCTCTGTATTTGTGTTCCCACTTGCAATCTGACAAGAGTTGAGTGAATCTGTGTTAATTTCTTTTGTCGCTGTCTGTTAGTACTGAGGTGATTATTGAATGTTACTGACTAAAATACCTAAACTTTCATAAGTATCTAACTCCAGTTTGTCATAAAAATATACTTCTGCTTTCAGTTTCACGTGCGTGCCGTTCCAGTAAAGTGATTCATGTCCACATGGGTGTGATAGACTTGTATTTCATAGAGTTGACTGTAAAGGTCTTGCATCAAACTTGAAATACTTGTGTTTCATCTCGTAGGCTAATTTTTTATCAGAATAATTCTCAAATTCCATTCCAGGCCCTCAGAAGTTAGGTTTCTCTTTGTTTTGAACACTTATTTTTTCCTAATAAGTAGCATCCAGCAATGAGTGTGTTATGCTAGTGTTTTCATTTGGATCAGCAGTGCAGTTTTGAAGTGAATCTCCTGTTGGCCCCTGCTTTGGTTTGCATTGTGGAGTGATGCTGGGGAGTGACCTGGAATGGATTCCTTTTGGACAAAATAATCTGAAAGATGCACTGCAGGAATGTGCCTAATGCACTCCAGCCACTAATAAGCCTTCAGTCTTTGAGATTAAATCTGAGAGCTAGTCCAAAGTAGAAAGCCCCTGGAGCATGTATAATATGGAATGTGTCCTTAAAATCAACTCTTTCACTGTACGGGCCCATTTTTATTGGCCCACACTGTTGCTAATACAGCCATAGCCACTGAGTATTGCTTAGCACTTATGTGAAACTAGTTTTGTACACATGTGAAACATTGTTGGATGAATGACACACATAAATTTATAACTGACTGCATGACAATTAGTATGATTATTTGTGAAAAGAAGTTTTCACTTATGTATTTGAACTTTTTAATGCTTTAAATAGTGCAGAGTACCTATTTGCATATTGCTATTAATTTTTAATTTATCACAACTAAAATTTGTCCAGGGCTGTCA